TTTAGGGTTTAGGGTTAGTTATAAGATAGTATAATAGTATTAGAATGTATTGTAGTATAAAAGTACAATAGTTAGACTATATGGTATAAGAGTATTATAAATGGTATTGTAGTATGATCGTATTGTAGTAGTATAATACGGTGGATCAACCGTAGTTATATTATGTAATATAATAGTATTATAGTATTGTGGTAGTGTAGTATTGGTGGAAGAGGTCCCTTTCCAGAAGCCCATCGAAGTGGGGCTTATTGTTGTTTAAAAGATTAGCAATCTCATATGTAATGATATAACCTCATATAATATTATGTCAGATTATTTGGCATTGTTTGCAATATTATGAGAATTATACTTAGTACTACTACATTTGTTATTATTGCTGTTCTTACTATCGACGCTAGTTGCAGGCCCGGACGCTACACAGTCTGGAGACGCTGTGTGGAAGCCTGGCTGTCCGACATGGCATCATTGAGAGGGCATTTCCAGAATTACTCCGTGTCAAGTGTGTTTTGCTTGGGAGTGAGGCTGCGAGCCTGCTATTCTCCTTGCTTTTATCTTTGGCAAACTTTTGCTTGCGGCTTATGCTTTGTAGCAGTCAGCAGTACGCAAAGTGCATCTCCAAAAGGGAGAATTGTCTGAGGTTCCACCTTGGACGTGGACAACGCCAGTAGCCTTAAGTCAGGGTAGGTCAGCTTGTTGAACGTTCTTGTTGTTGAACCGCGACAGATCTTGGCTGGCTGGATGCTGAGGCCGCGATACGCCTTGCCCGACAAGCTCGAACTTGCCAGATACCTGAGCCAAATCTTCGGAGATTCTTTGGCAACTTGGACTGCTGCTTGGGTCATTGCTGCAATTCTGAGTCTGACGCGCGTTTCGCAGCAGCTTTGCTGTTTGTAACCTGCGTCACGCTGGCATTCTTCCTGGGCCTGGCACCTGGGCTGCATTTGAAAAAGCTAGAAGCGACTTCGCAAGATCCGGGCAACAGTCTGTGGAGATATTGGTTTTGGCTGCTGGTGGCGCCTCATTTGTCTGTGGGCTGCCTGGCAACTGAAGTCCTTCAACTGTATTACTAATTTCGAGGATGGGCCCGGTTGGATCCTGTCGTGTGCTAAGGCCAGCAGTTGGCGCCCAGCCTGTAGGGGATTCTTGGCAGTGGCCTCGTTCAAAGCCAGAGCTTCCAGGGTTGTTATGTCAGCAGCATTGGGGCCCATGATGGCCCATGCCTCTGAGTGGCAGTGAGGTGTGGTCCACGTACTTGGTGCTATTGCTGCCGTAAGTGCCCTAGTGACAGTTGCGCATGTTGTGGGTCCAGCAGCTAAGCGGTCGTGGAGCCGCACTTGATCAGCACTTGCTTTTTTATTTTGCCTGGTACGCCCGCAAATTGCTGGCCCCTCGTTCCGTCTGCATCCGCATTCTTGGCTTCCAGCAATCTCGTAGACAGCGCCATGCAGAGCTCTCGGCTGCCCTTGAAGCAGCACCTCTGACCGCAACAAAATTCCGCTGTAATGATGCAGAAGGGCTACCAGATGGTTGATTTTCAGGTGAACCGTTGTAGCTACCAAATGAGGTATGAGCTGACATTGCAGAACGCTCAGCGCGTTCTTGCCAGCCTCCTGGAGCAGCCCGCAAAGCCATGGGTTCCTTTTAAGGTGCAGTTCTCAGACTTCGCTACTGTGGCAAGACACTTGTTGCAGGTATTGGATCGGGGTGGGCGCAATCTCATGCAGTGAGACTGTTCGCAGGCATTGGTTGACGATCTCTCAGCGCAGCTGACCGCATTGCGGAAGCGATCTGCAGCCTGTGTTGTGCTTCCTGGCAAAGAAAAGCACGGGTCCTTTAGTTGCCAGTTCTAGTTACACATCCACAGGTGTCCATACATAGAGGCCCCGATAGGTCCTTACACGCATTATGACCCTTATTAAGAGGACCCAAACAGGGGCTCCAATTTCGGGTAACCTCCTTTCAACCGCGGTATCCCAGCTTCCCTTTCATGCTCATTCTCCAGTCTGAAACCCAAATGCAGCATGACACCTGAATCCAGGCAGCGAGCGATTCGGCACAGTCTGGCCAAAGTCGCGCAGAAGCGCGCAGGTGGCATACGGACATAACGGGGCTTCCAAAATTTCGGGATACATATACTTTTGGGGGATATCCAAAACAAATATTGTAGTATGTATATTGGTGTAGATGAGGAGTCCCGTCATTTTTGGAAACTCCCGTCAAACACTGGCCAGCACTCCCTGGGTTCTGCTTTATGACTTGTAATTCGGCAGGAGTTGAATTGAACGTGCCTCGTACAGGGCAGCTGGCTCGATCTGTCAAAAAGCCTGCCTCTCAGCTTGCGGGGGAGGTGACCTTGAGCCATGTGTCTTGGATTCCAAGGCCAACATGTGTTTCTGGTGGATACTTTGCTGAAGCTCCGAAGAGAGCCTTGGTGCCAGTGCCGCCTCCAATGCCACCAGCTTCAGGTGGGCACATGGAGCAGATTTCAAGCCAGTGCTGGAGCCTAAACCCTGAACCTGTAGGAAGTAGCTGAGCCGACGAGTGAGTTTCCTGCAGAGACCGTTGTGGTTGTGCCTTTGGGGTTCATGGGGACCTCTCCGGTACTGGCCATGCAAATGGCAAAGCCCTAAGCCCACCTAAAACGTTGATCAGGGCACGGCCTGTCTGGTGCCCTCAATCCCTTGGAGAAGCGCCGCCACATGGTTGCTGCGCAGTTGGCCAAAAGCTGCTTTGGCATGCTTGGGTTACGCACTATAGCACGTAAAATAGTACCTACTATTGGTACTAGACAATAATAATTAGGTAGTATCGTAGCATAGTATTATTGTAGTTGTAATTGTGTAATATGTTGTAATATAGTAACAGAATAGTACTATAGCAGTATCTTCGTGATTCTTCGTGGTAGTAGCACCGGTTCCTTTTAAAGCATAGCAAGACGACATTGTCTTGAATGGTGTGAGGCAACCCCTCTCGACTTGCTCGGTCAAGACGGCCGCAGCATTTGAGCAGCGATGTGGTGCAGCGCACTTACTTCATGTGTCTTCATCTTCTGTAGTTTCGTGTAATGTTAGCGCGCCTCCGCGCCGCAGCCAGCGGGTCAGCGCGGACCTGACAGTAGCCACCTGCTAAAGCAACACGCACCCGTACCCAACCCACACACACACACACAAGAAAGAGAATGAAAGAGCCACACTCCTGTCCAGGAAATATGCGGGCCCAGGCTATCAGATCCGGAGCCGTGTCCAAACCTTGACCCCCAAACCGCGTACCTTGCAACTGAAAAGATACAGTTCAGACCCAACAAAGGAGGGGGGAGGGGGAGGGCCAGAAAGTTCTTCAGCGCGGCGGGCTCTGGGAGCCCCGGCCCGGGCCTTGCATGGATCCAAACAAGGATTGACAGCTTCCGGCACGGCGGCATGCAAGGGAGAAGGGTGTAGGCAGAGACTTTGTAACTAACGCCCACGGCCTGGGGCCTCGGCGGATTTCAGAACCAGAACAACCATTGTATACCATGCACGCGGCTCATTTGGCACGTGACCGATGCGCTGGCCGTAGCTAGTCTTTCGCCACTTGAGAGGCCTGCAGCCTTTGCAATTGAGAAGGTGCCCTTCAGTCAGGAGGACCTCCGGGCACGAAAACTTGCTCGTTCCCAGAGTTTTAGGTTGATCTTCTGGTGTGAATCGCAATTCTGATCTCCGGGTATAGCTGGCAGGATGTGGCAGCTGTTCCAACCGCCACGCTAACATTGCCGAAATTGCAGACGGCGCCAGGAAGCAACGTGCGAGACCCAGGACAGTCCAGCACAAGACTTACAATGTCACAGCTGCTTTCTCAGAAGCTGGCGTTTCCAGTATGGTGAGACAGGCTTTTGCAGCGATCTGGTGAAATTTATTTGTTATTGATATCACGCAACTGTGAGGTATTTCCGCAGATGCCCACAGGGCTGTACGACAAGGCCCGGGTATGAAAAGCATAGTCTATCAGGGCGTTGCGTAGACAAGCTGGAGGACTCTTGGATGCTGGCTATGTGAATTCGGCAAATGCCAAAACAAATCTGCTTGTGGCCTTGTTTGTGTTCTGCTGTTTTCAGGACATCCCGACAGCTCCCCTGGAAGTGCTACTGAAGGATGGCCTCCGGGAGGAAGATCCAGTTGACCAGCCCTAACCTCAGGACACGAACAATCGCCTTGGTGGGCAAACGTATCGTGTACAAATCAGGGTTGCGTGACGTAGAAAGCAATGCCGGCCTTGAGGAGAGTGAAGGGTGTGAGAAGCAGTAGTCTTGAGCTTCCCAAGATCCAGACTTAGGATTGCATTGCTGGGCCAGTGCGACAGCGCCAGCCTCAGCAAATCTCAGGACTGATATCCCCATTGGACTACGTGTGTTTCGAATGAGTTGGCCATGCATGCCCGACTTACCGTCGCAATTGCACAAATGGGTGCGAGTATGACAGCGCCCTGCGTGTGAGGGCACTGCCCCGCGTGTGTGTGGAATCCCTGCAACGTTCCCAGTCAGAATAGTAAATGCTGCGGATCTGATGTAGGGAGGTGATGGAGCTGTGAGCCGACTCACCATGAAAGGTATCATTGCTTTGAAATGTAAGGATGTTCTAACGAAGAATTGCCTGACTTGGTTCGAAAGAGCCTTCGCATGCGTTGTTTACATTGACGACCGTAGAGGAGCCACCATAGACCCCTGTGTCCCAAAAACAAGACATACAAGACGAAATCAAGGGCCAAGAGCGGCGAGAAATCAAGTCGCCTGCAACTGCAAATTCACGCACCCAGTTTGCCCACCAACGATGTCTGAATATGTTGAGTATGTTAGGCAACAACCACAAGTACTTGCTCTGACTGACTTGTACATGTGCCCAGGAGTGCTTTCATGCACCTCAGGTGCGGGCATCAGCTTGGCGCCTCCGCCATCAGAAGGATCCAAACGACCTGGCTCTGCCCCAAGACAGCTCTGCGGGCCGCAGGACGTCTGCATCCGAGAACCTTGCATATGCTGCCCATTCCGAATTCCACTGCCTTGTTGCAAGCAGATGCCTTCAGCAAACCTGCTCCCTGCAATCCGTTTTGCTTGGTGCAGTTGGGAGCAGGGGTAGCCTGCCATCCTTTAACATATGGCGTCAGGTCTGTACGCAGGCAGATGGTGCTTAGGCTTAGGCAATGAAACTGCGTGACCTAGATGCTGCCTGGCGGCGTTGTGAGGTCACTGTCAATGCACTGCTCTGATCTCTTGTTTGATAGGAGGGTCCAACGCCGCCGTCCACAGCACCGACGGGCGAGTTCCATTCCACCGCCAGCAGCTTGCCAGAGGCATTCAGCGACTGTGCCACAGCGAGGCAGGACAAGGGGTTTCAACCTTCCCATGACCTTCCCAGCACTGTAAGGATTGAAAGCCGAGATGTTTAGGAATGCTTTGGGCAATGGCTGCAAATTGGGCAAGGTTTGAGAACTCTTTCGCGCACGGTCACGCTGGGGTATTGCGAGTGGCCCACTGATGCCAGCAAATCGCTCTGGATTCTCGCCCTGCTCTGTTCTTATGGCAAGCTATGAAGGATTCAAGCCTTCATACTGTGGTAGTGTATCATTATAGTGTTATAGTATCATGGCATTATAGTACTGTGGTGGAGACTGGGACGAGACAGGTCATCCAAGCCTTTGTCGCTAGGGGCCAGTCGTTTCGAAGCGTTCACATAAAGGCAGGTCGTAGTGTGTCAATAAGATGTACTGCTCGGATACGACTGTGTCATGATATGTATGTTTGTACTTTGAAATGGAGCTTTGCTGTGTGGTTGCTCCTCTGAAGCAAGCTCTGTTGGATGCAGCCGAAGCTACTAAGTGGCTTGGCTGCTTTAGTGCGAGTGCATCAGCTGCAGGCATGGCCTGGCAGTTGCCAGTTCTCAGTGCTTTCGCCAAAACGGGCGGAAGCTCGCAAGCCACCACTAGCTGGACATGCTAGTATGGTATGCTGCTCCAAAAGGAATGGCTAGTGCAATCAAACCTTGCAACATCGGTGGTGGCGGCCCTGTTCGCTTGGTCCAGTCTACTGTGGCGATGTCGGCAAGTGGAGTGTGGAATAGTGCGGATTACAATAGTAGACTACAGTAAGACTACGGTAACCCCGAAACTGTTATGCTGGACATCGTGTGCAGACCGGTTGTGCTGGTTGCCGGAGCTTCTTGAAAAGGCATTATCGGAGCAGTGTTGCATGCGTGCTTTCATATATTATTACTAGCGTGGGTTTGCTATTGCTGTTACTACCATGATCACAAATATTCTTCTGACAAATGTTGTTATCACTATCTCCATGTTTTGTTTACTATCATGCACTTTTAATGGGTAGTAGTAGCAGTAGTAGTAGT